AGGTACACATTAACTTGAAATTTACAAACATTTCCCATTTCACTCAGATTATGTGTAAAAATTGATCTGATCATATCTTGATGTATTTAGTTTTGTTTAAAACGTTTTCTATCTCGTTGGAAATATCTTATCGAGTTCTAAAACTCGTCTCCAGGCGTCAGTTTCAAAATATTACGGGAAGACTACTTAATGAACCGAAATTCAAATCTCAAACTGTGTTTACGCTAAAAATTATCTATTTATGGTGAAAACACTAAATCACAGAGACCAGGCTTAGTATTTTGTAACACTCATATCTTGTTGTATGTTCTTTCGTTTCAAGCGTATTATATCTCGTTGGAAAGATCATTTTGAGTTCTAAAGCTATTGTTTCGACTCAATTCACAATGCATTAAGTATAAGATACAGATTAACTTGAAATTCACAAATATCTTTTATTTCACTATGAACACGTGTAGAATTTGATTTGTTCATATATTACTGTATTTAGTTCTGTTTAAAGTGTTTTTTTGTCTCGTTGGAAAGATCTTATTGAGTTCTAAAACTTGTCTTCAGGCTTTGAATTCAAAATATTACGAGAAGACTACCTAATGAACCGAATTTCAAATCCCAAATGTATTTACGCTAAAAATACTCTATTTGCGCTAAAAACGCTAAATCGCAGATATCAGACTTGGTATTTAGCCCATTTAATGCATTTCACTCGTGCTTCTCAAACTATTGAGGAAGAAGAGTACAAAAGGAAAAATAGAGCTAAAGGTTAAATTAGTTTTGATTGTACTACTCTCAATAATAGCTACAATACTAAACAAATTTCTCTGTGTGATGACTAATTTTGCCCTCTTCCCTCCTGAAAATCAAACTGTGTTCAATGAGGAAGAAGCCTTTACTTCTAAGGTTTCTAAACCATATTTCATGCAATAATCAAGAAAATGGTTGATCTCCATTATTCTTTTGAAGAAGAACGAGAAAAGTTTAAAAAAGAAAAGGGGAATCTTTTAAAGAAAATTTCTGAGTTAACTATTAACTCCTATCAAGGCTCGAAAACTCCTGTTAATTCCCCTTTTGAAAAGAACAAAAAGAAGACTCTATCTCATCTCCTGTTTCTAAAGACATTTTTTGAAAGTCTCTTTTTCAACAGGCTTGTAAAGAAAACGGCTCATTCTCTCACTCATATTTTGAAAAACCGAAATGTAATCTCCCTATAATCTAAAGGGTGGAAGGAAGTTAGTTTCGTCCTATTCCGTTACTCTATCCGTTACTACATCCCCAAATAATTGACGTCGTTTGTAGCTCTCCTGCGTAAAAAGGTGTCTGATGTTCTTCCCAACTCATTTGCCATTCCACTCTCCGGAAATCAGAAATTCGCATAGCTAGGGTTGCGAGAGTCTTCTGCCAAGTCTTGCTATAGGATCCTTTCGTTGCCGCTTCTCACTCGCACTTCTCATTGCAACTGCTCTCAAGTCTCATATGCTTCTCACTCAAGGAGTTCAGAGCTCGGGGTTCGTTCGTTCAACAGTGAATTCCTCAAACTTAAAAGCATCCTGAATTAAACAGAATCCAACAAGTTTCCCATTTCGTTCCAGCTCCGATCGTTCCTTCCCTGTGTTTCTCTGGCGCTGGCTTTTTAATTCGTGAGTTCTTTCTGTTTTGTTTCAAGTTTTACATTTCTTTGTTTTGTCGCCCTTCCTCTTCTATCTATGGGTTGCTCCTCTACCCATAAAATGGAATGCTGGGTTTATCTGTTGTGGTGTGCATGGACTGTTTTGCTTCACAATGTTTCACCGTTTTATGAAATGCCCTGAATTGTTGCAAAGAATTGTTTTCTCCTTTATGTATATACTGTACAATTTTGCGATTGTGGGCCTTTTGCTTTTGTGCTGTTCTTGTGCTTTTGTTGCTTTCCTGCGGCTGGATTTGAAAACTATTTGTACGGTTTGTTTCTAATACCCGAAAAATTAGGCATGTTCCTTGAGAAAATAGAGGAAATAAATTGATTGGTATATCTGGTGTGGTGTGCAGGGACTGTTTTGCTTCGCAGAGAAAAATTGTTTGGTTTGTTTTTACGGTGGTTGTGTAAAGGGTCAGGGCATTTCAGTTTGTGCGATAAATCTTTCAGAGGTGAATCTCTCATCTCCTCCTCAAACTTAGATGTAGGGGTTGTTTACACTATTCTTGTTCTCTTTTAATTTGTTTTCTCTAATATCTATTTTGTTTCGTTTCCTACGTAAGAACGAAAGAGCATCTAGGGTGCTTTTCATGGGTGATGAAGTTATCTTCCGCTCATCATCTACTGATATTAGGACATGGTCATCGCCCTCGTCCTCTTTGTGGTTCATTATAAAACTACGGTATCATCTTCTTCAGTACTAACTTTTCTTGTATCATATTCTTGTTTGGATAAGGTCTGATTTCACTTTTCATATTAGATTCTCGTATTAACAGTTTGCATTAGTTTTGATATGTGATTGTTTAGTTAATTAGGGGTTTTGTCAAAAGAAATTGTGATTGTTTAGGTAATTAGGTGTTTTGTCAGAAGAAAAGATTGCCCAGCTGACCATATCCTCGTTGGCGCTATTGCAAACGCCCAACCACGAAAGGTTCTATTTTTGAAGGTAAAATCAAAATAGTTTGATGTTATAGGATCTTTTTGAATTTAATTTATGATGTGTACCACATTTGTTTTTTTGTATTAGTGTTTTTATTTACTTTCGAGCCTGAGCTTTTTTTTTATATAGTTGTGTTGTTTGTGTTGAATTTTATGTTTCGTGTGCTCTGTATTTCATAGGTTTTACCAGTCCCGGCGTTAAGTTGCAGGGTTCTGCTTTTTTTTACTCTCAGAAAGGTAACCAAAACACAATTTCATTTGAATGTATATGACAGGTTTTGTTTGGCTTTAATTTGTGATGCAAAACACATTTATTTCTTTATATGAATGACTTCCTTATTCATTCTTACTTCTGATCCCCTGCCTATATTTTGGTGGATTTGTTACATTTTATATGTCTTATAAGTTCAAATATATGATTTTAATGCAATAGAATATTATATTTTCGTGTTTATTGTGTATCTCGCTTGTATTGATAATTATTTGTTAGTTTTCCAATATTTTTCAATTATTTTGTCAATTCTTTGGTTTTTAAAAGATGTAATTTCATATAACTGTTTTGAGTTGTTCTCTTGTACTAATTAAGAATGACTTATCTTTTCTTCCTCTCGTTTAGATGTTGAATCAGCGGTCCTCGACACGACTTAAAATGAAGAAGAGGGCAGTTCAATGCAAAATAAAATCAAAATCGATAGTGGTTAATATTTTGACGTTTTTAGGTAGTGCTTACTTGTTACTGCTTTGTCTCTAGGTGAGGAACACAGCTATGCATATTGATAACAATTGATGATGGGTACACCATTCTTGAAAGTGATTATTTTATTTAGTTTAGTAGTGTTGTGTGAATGATAAAGGGTCTTCAATTTACTCTCTAGAAATTTAGAATCAAGTTAGGGGTGTGATGGAGTAGTTTGCCGCCAAGTCCCTCAACGTCCACAAAGTATCAAACTGCTCTCAGAGCCATAGATCGCCTCTCACCTTGGTATTTTTTTTGTCAATGTAATATTATTTTTATTGAAATGATAACGAGAATTACAAAGTGTGTCGGGTATTTGGGCTTTAAAAACTGGACCCGAAGAAGGAAAATAGAAATTACAAAACTTTAAATGTGAAGAGAGCTACGGGGCAGGGTCATTGGAGGACCCCTATGATTTGTTGCTGAGAATAAAGCGGTTGGCCAGAGGCAGTAACCGTCCAAATTAAATTTGGCCTGATGTTAACCGCCTCTCACCCTGGCAACTTTAGCTGATATTTCTTTCTTCTCTTTTGTTTTCTTTGCTTTCTATTTCGTTTCATTTCTTATGGCAAGAAGGAAAAGCAACTAGGGTTGAAGCAACTATTGGCAATGAAGTTATCGAGGCCCATCATCTACTGATATTGAGGACCTGGTCATTGCCATTGTCCGCTATCTCTTCCACTATAGAAGTATTGTACCTCCTTTTTATTACTAACAGTTGTTGTTTCTTATTATTGTCGGGATAAGTTTTAATTCCGTTCTTCACATTAGATACCTGAAGTAACAGTTTGCATTAATTTTAATTTATGACTGTTTAGGTACAAAATGCACAACTTACTGTATCTCCATTGGCAATGTTGTAGGCGCCCACCCATACAAGGTTCTACTTTTTTTAAGAAGGTAAACCAAAACAATTCTATTCTATATAATCAGATTTTTAATATAATCTATGACATGAATCACATTTGTTTCTTTGCATTAGTTTTTTATTCACTTTTAAGCCTGTGTTTTTCTATGTCTGTTGTTTGTATCCGGTTTTAGGTTTTGTATGTTCTGCATTTCTTATGTTTTTGGTAGAAGAAAATATATCCCTAGATGAGCAACTCGGTGATAATACCAGTCCACACGTCGATGTTAAATTTGGCAGTAACCGTCCAAATTAAATTTGGCCTGATGTTAACCGCCTCTCACCCTGGCAACTTTAGCTGATATTTCTTTCTTCTCTTTTTTTTTCTTTGCTTTCTATTTCGTTTCATTTCTTATGGCAAGAAGGAAAAGCAACTAGGGTTGAAGCAACTATTGGCAATGAAGTGATCGAGGCCCATCATCTACTGATATTGAGGACCTGGTCATTGCCATTGTCCTCTATCTCTTCCACTATAGAAGTATTGTACCTCCTTTTTATTACTAACATTTGTTGTTTCTTATTATTGTTGGGATAAGTTTTAATTCCGTTCTTCACATTAGATACCTGAAGTAACAGTTTGCATTAATTTTAATTTATGACTGTTTAGGTACAAAATGCACAACTTACTGTATCTCCATTGGCAATGTTGTAGGTGCCCACCCATACAAGGTTCTACTTTTTTTAAGAAGGTAAACCAAAACAATTCTATTCTATATAATCAGATTTTTAATATAATCTATGACATGAATCACATTTGTTTCTTTGCATTAGTTTTTTATTCACTTTTAAGCCTGTGTTTTTCTGTGTCTGTTGTTTGTATCCGGTTTTAGGTTTTGTATGTTCTGCATTTCTTATGTTTTTGGTAGAAGAAAATATATCCCTAGATGAGCAACTCGGTGATAATACCAGTCCACACGTCGAGCTGCACAGAATTATGTTTTCTATTTCAAAAAGGTAATCATAACCAAGTTTCATTTAAAATTATTTGACTGGTTTTGTCTTGGATTTAATTTTTGATATGAAAACAATTTTTGATATAAAAACCTCTGTTTCTTTACAAGAATAAGGGAAAACTGTCAAATATCTCCACCTACCTTTACAAAAAAAAATCAATTGAGTCCATGTACATTTTTTAAGTCAATCAAGTCTGTTAACTATCAAATTGGCTATTTAATAGGTTGTGAAGCGGTTACCTGGTTAACCACATATGTGGTCACGTGGATGTCTTACATGGCGTTTTTTACTATTTCCATTTTTACTTTTCTTCTTTCCTTCTTCTTCCTGGTCCGCACCTCTTCCCCTTCCCAATCTGGTTGTCTCCAATGATGTGTCCCCACTTCTGATTTCTAGCCTCCATAGCCACCGCCTCCAGAGTCCGGCCTACACATTCACCTCAACCGCTCCTCCCGCCATACACACCACCTTTGGTCATTACCTATGTGGCATTCCACTTCGACTCCTCCACTGAAGCAACCTCCATCCGTTCTGGATTCCATAGCCATAACGTTGCCCTTACTACCGTGCTCGCGGCCTCCGAATTCCACCTCCACAGTCTCCAACTCCGCCTCTTCCATGGAACGACCTCCAACCACCTATGCGGTCTCCAACTCTATGCCTTCCATGGAATGACCTCCAACCACTTGGTCTCCATAGCCGCCACCTCCATCCCATAGATCTGTAGTTATAGACACAGGGAAGGAAGAGGAGTTCAATTCAAAGGGGAGATGCCGAGATGGAGTGCAGAAGCAGAAGAGGAGCGGACTGAAGAAAGAAGAAAGAGGAAAAAGAAAAAATTAGAGAACATTAAACAAAATTCTAGATGGCTGCCCATCGTCTTTTATAGTTAACGGGCTTGATTGACTTCAAGCAAATGTACATAGACTCAATTGACTTTTTCATAAAAGCAGGTGGAACTATTTGACAGTTTTCCCTAAGAATAACTTTTTTAATCATTGTTTCTTTTGATTCTCCTTGCCTATATTTTGGTGGGTTTGTGAGGTTTTGTGTCTTCTAACTTCAATTATATGGTTTTAAGTGCAATACAAAATTATATCTTCGTGTTTATTGTGTACCTTCCTTGTATTGTTGATTATTAGCAAGTTTTTTTTTTCATTTTTAATCAATTATTGTTTCCCAATATGCAATGATGTGCACCTTTATGTGTTCATCCATGTGTTCAACTTTTTCTTGAACTTTTACGTCCTTTTAATTATGCGGTCTTTATCTTTATTGCCTTAATTGAGGTTTTTTTTTCCTACATTGTGTGTTTTTACGTAGCCTTAAAATCATTTTCAAAAAGCTTTTTTAAATAACTTATTATTCTTGCCAGTAATCTTTATGAGACCTTCTATATCCAGGGTAGAAGGCGACAAACCACCTCTTGTTGAATTGCTTGAGTTTTTTTATCCAACTGTGCAAAGAGCAGCTGAAGGCGTCTTGGCGACACTGGAATTCAAAAATGATGAAAATAAGAATCAGGTTTGGAATTTTGTCTATTTTTTTGCTAAGGTTACATGTGTTTTGATTATGGATCTTTTTTGCATTTGATCGTTTAAGAGATAGAAGTCGTGGTGCTAATGATAACGATTCAAATCATTGGGGAAAGAAAGTAGAGGAGGGAATGGGAATGCTACTTCAACAAAACTCAAGGCCGGGTCTAATCTTTTTGGGGAAGCTAGACCCAGGGAAAAGGTGTTAAAGGAGAAGGGGTAGGGCTGGAAGGAGATTGACCAAAAGCTGGGGTCTTTAAAGGAGATTGACCAGGAAGAATAGCTTTGGGAGCAGCAGTTGACGTTTCTTCTCTCCTGACTCCTAAGGGAAGAATTGAGAAGAGTTGGAGGTCTTGAGGTAGTACATGATGCTCGGCCTTCCAGGTAGTGCAGCAGGCATTTCTTATCAATTATTAAGGAGTATAGTTATTATTATTAACATTACTATCCTAATTGATTTTGCATTACTTTCACTTCCAGTTTTCTCCCCCGCATTGGGCCTGACCCACGCGTGATCTTTTGTCCAACATATTTCAGGTGAACTCACCTCAAATAACTTTGGGCCTGCTCGCTTAAATTGAGTTCAGTCTTTGTCCGCACTGATGGAACAAATGCTTGCTTTTATGATGCAAGAGTGTTGGAACAATGTTTGCTTTTATGTTTCTTACTTATTTCAGTTGTCCCTTTCGTATATTAATTTTGCATTCCTTTTGTTCCCAAATTTTGTATCTCCCGTTGGGCATGACAACCGCGCAACGCGCGGGTCGCAGCTAGTATTCTTAATAAACGCCAAGAGAAGAGGATGACTTGGATTTTCAAAAAAAAAAAAACTCAGGAGGCAGTAAGACTCAAAATGTTTCTGAAAATTCAAAATATCTTTGCTCCAAGTCTTGAAGTAATTTCAAGGATACTCATTCTAGTTTTGAAAGTCAGTCACTAAATTCTTCCACAGACAAGTCTTCTAAGTCTTCTTCTGATGGTTCTAATCATGTGAATACTCATTCTGATCTAGTGCTTCTCTTAGTGCAACCAAGCAATCTAATACTTCAAGTCATCATTGTGATGTGAGTAGTGATGGAAATCTAAACAGAAATGATTTAAAGCTTCTACCTATGATGTTTGTGATGCAACTCAACTAAAATATCCCCTCAAGGTTTATTCAATCAAACATTTGAAACGTCTATCAAGGGTGTTGGGATATTAGGTCCAGGCCCAATATCCCTAGGCCCAAAACCTGGGAAGAAGCAGCAGGCCCAAGGCAGTCCAAAGAACTCCCGAACGGCATTCGGGATAAATTTTCTACTTGGAACATTCCAGGAAACACTTACGCCAAAGTGCCAATGCCCAGATACCGATCGGCGTTCGAGATACTTCCATAACAAGATAACACCTATGGCGGGGTCCCACACACCGAACACCTTGCCCGAACGGCAGTCAGCAAGTGGAAGCCGCATTTAATGCTGGATCATGACGGCTGCAAGTGGGGGCATGAGTGCTTACATGGCAGAGGTGACAGCCTACCAGATTCGGCCACGTGTCCACCTTACCCATCCCCATTTTAGTATAAATACCCATGTTTAGATCATTGTAAAGGGTTAGCATTTTGATACTCAGAGCTTAGTAATAGATTTATATCTCTTATCCTTGTATTCTCATAACCATCTACCGTCCGGGTAGTTCCAGTGTAATAGCATAATTATTGAATACTAGTAAGCTCCTGAGTTGGATAATATCTCACTGTTTTATATTTTATACAGTTTTCAACCCAACCCAATATCCCTACAATATCCAAGGCTTGTGTTGGGCTTTCGGATCTTTCGGAATAAACCTCAACAAAGGGAGAAAATCTTTACTTCTCGAAGTCATCATGTCCCATCATTTACTTGCGCTGAAACTGTTATTGTTCAAAAATGAATTCCTAAATCAGAATTACAGTCACATGGCTTTCCAAAACCTTCAAAATAAAATAGCCTAGGAACAAAAATAAAACAAAAAATTCACAATTTGTATTATGTTAGAAGTGGAGAAATCTTGTCAAGAAAATAAAACAACTTCCGCTGTTGCACAAAACTCGATTAACGAGCTTTCTTTATATCTAGTGTTTCTTGTTGAATATGAAGAATGGAATGTTCCTAATTTTATCGAAAATGGCAAAGCAAGTGCTATCGATGTCAATGTCAACCATAGCCGTTGAACAAGAATTAGGCGAAGCCAACAACATACTCACTGATTATATCACAAAATTGAGCACACAATCTCTTGAAAAGCTCATTTGCTTCCACGATTTGTTGAAAGCCCGACATAGAATTCAAGAAGTTTGCATCACCCCGACCGCTGGCGAAAATTTCGATTGATTTTTGACAAATGTATTTAATGTTTTAAATTATTCTCAATCTAGATTGTGGATTAAAAAACAAAACATGACTCGGCCCGGCCTAGGACCAACCTAAGGACCAATCAGGTACCCAGACCGAAATCAGACCAAACCGGGTCAATACCAGACCCCATTCAAATGGGATCAGTCCCTATCTATTTGGTATTGGTATCAGATACTTATCACCTACAATGTTGGGAACTTAAAACGAAGGATCAACAGAGCATGGGTATTGCATTACGCAATCAAGATGTTTTTACTTGGACTGTAATTCATCCTAGACAAGACCAGACTTGGATAGTTATAAAAATACAAGGAAACCAGACCAGACCAGCAAATTACAGTCCAAGTAAAAACATCTTTAGAAAGCTTGCTAAAAATGTCACGAGACTCACGGCATAATAGAGTAGTCATGGATCTATCCGAGCCAGACCAACCCCAGAACCGGACCGGCCCGCACAACCCGGTGAACCGATTCTGGTTCCAGGCCTAGGCTCGACCCCGGGGGTTAGGGGGCCAGTTCCGGTCCATACCATCCTTTGGAACCGGTTCGGGTCTCTTTTTTTTCTTTCTGTTTTTTGGGTTTTTTCCTGAGTTGGAATGGGTGTTTTGGGGGGGGGGGGGGGTCGAGGGTTACTTACAAAAGCAAAAGAAATCATAGAACTAGCCCAACCCGAACCCGGCACGGGCCTGGTGGAAACCCAGGTCGGTTCCGAGCCTTCCCCCAAAACTCAAAAACCCGGCCGGGCCTAGGCCCGACCCGGAACCTGGTCCATGAGACCATGACTATAGTAGAGCATAGACGGGCATGGATAATACGCATTCAACAGAGAGAGAAATGATAACTATATACTCCCTCCGTCCTAATTTGTTTTGCAAAGTCAACATTTTTTTGTCAACCAATAATTAAAGTCAACCATCTCTATGGATAACTAATTCAATTTTTAATAATTGAAATTTACATATTCAAAAACTACATTAAAATCTCTTCAAAGTTATAAACTCCAAATTAGAATAGAATTAAAAATCGGCATCCTAATTAAGTGAACAAAACGAGATTATTTGACTAAAAAAAAGTCAAATTTGCAACTCAATTTGGGACGGAGGTAGTATTTTCCAATAATAATAGTCTAAATGCTAGACAATCTTGGGAAGCAAAAACAAAACTAACACATTCCACCATTGGTCCTGTATGCTTGTCAAAACAAAAATAAAAACAATAACCCATGCAAAAAATTAAGGGACAAAGCAGCATCGTCCAAGTTCAGCTAAACAACTCACTAGGTACGTAATAATTATAATACCCCGTAATAATTAAACCTTAATAGCATACTTTCTCAAAGGGAAATACATCTCTCTCTTCTTCTGTCTTTCTGTCTTTAAAGATGCCTGCACATAGCCACATAGTCAGAGGTTGGAGTTAATACCGCCTACATAGTACTGACATGAAAAATAGTAGACGCTAGGTCACCAAATGATTTTATCACCATAATATTACATTTGAAATAACAAGATAGATTAATACATGTAGCTTGATAGAGTAATTGAGGATATAATAGTAATTTCAAATGAGGTGGCTAGCTTGGGTGTTATAGTATAATGTCCCTCAAGCATTGAAACTACACCAGTACATTCTTATGAGCAATTCAGTAATTGTAGAGAGTAATGAAAAAATATAATAGTAATATCAAATGAAGTGGATAGCCGGAGTGATAAACCTAGCATATTCCTCTAACATTACTCGTGCTGAAATAGTGATATTAAAAACAATACTCCGTTTAAACTTTTTGTGGACACATAACGCAATTTGTACGATTCATGTAGTGAATAATCATGTGCACTGGAAATTATTTACTTATCCAAGAGAGCAACTATTCTATATAACAGCAACAAGCAATTATTATAGAACTATGTCATTGTTCATGAGACATGGTTTATGAGGCCACAAGTGGTATGCGTCAAACTTGTATTGGTTGTTCAACTTGAAGTTGGATGAATTATAATATTATATCACGTTAGGTCCAAATATAAGTGTAATCTGAGTTTGATAAATGTGATGGTGAAGTGTATGGTCCGGATGCAATTTCTGTAAATTATACAAAGACTGTTGTTTGAATTGTCTCCACAAGCACTCAGATGGATTTTTACTTGACATTCGCTATACTTGAAGTGTATGGATTTTAATGCATACTCACCCCTGTACTCGACCGCCTTTGTAGACTGTTGTATAATCAGATCAAATTATTGATAACTACATGTCATTAAAACCAAAATTAATTTGAAGCTGATTTTTTTGGAAATTGGGATTCCGAGAAAATTAACTCTTTCCAGAAAAAGTGGATGAAAAGTATCTAGCATTTGGATGACATAGCAGTATACTGCGTATATAGGATAAAGCAGACATATTTGATAAACTACACAGAATAACAATTTTCTTCAGATAAAATACGAAAAACAAGACAGAGTTACTCTCTTTTTCCATACAAGTGTTCAACAGATTACACCTTAATCTCTAAAGTCTAAAGATGCAGTTCTTTGGGGTAAGAATGTAATTTGGCAACTACCTGGTGCTTAGTGAGGCGTCTGCGGATGGCTCTGGTCTTCTTGGGACGTAGATCAAGGGGCAAGTACTTCTTGTTCTTGTAAGCTGTCCTTAGTGCAGCTTTCTGCGTCTGGGAAATCACAGTCAACACTTGAGCAATTGACATCCTCACCACCTTACTGCGCAGCATAATGTTTTATTTTACCATCGATCAATGAGTAATAAAAATAACATTTGCAGAATTTAGATAGGAAATCATTGTGCAAAAAGTTATTTACAAATCAACATAAAATAAAAGAGGAGGTTTACATCTTGGAGAGCTTATTGGGGGCGCCGCCGGTGACCTTGGCGACTCGGAGAGAAGCGAGCTCCGTCTTCAGATCTTTCAGCTGAGCCAAAAGCTCCGCTTTCGACTTCTGCCTCAGCTCATGTACCTTAATCCTCGCTGCATATTTGATTGAAGAAATATAAATCAAGCTGATAAATCTTAATAATCGAGATAAGGTTGAGATGACGAACGGAGATAAGGTTCATACCCATTGCTCCTCCTACTCCGATGTCTCTCTGTTGCTCCGATCTCTCTCTGTTGTTAGGGCCTGCCCGCCTGCCTGACCAGTATGTAAAGAGTAGACGCGGCAGTAGTAATAAACCCTAACAATGCATTATGAACAGCACAGCTCACTGTCGAACATCAACTTTCAGGCCCAACCCACTTAATGGCCTAATTAGAACTGTCAAACGGGCTAACCCGACCTTATCCAACCCGACCCGGCCTGAAATGAGTTATGCTTTATATGCGTTGGGTTGGGCTAACTCGTTTAATGATGGGTCAGAATTTCTACAACCCTAACTCAACCCGTCTAACCCACAAGTTAAACGAGTGGCCCGTGGGCCGATGCAAAAAAATATATGACAAAGTATTCTTTAAAAATAATTACTCTTGAGTATATATTTATATTATTAAATAGTTTGTAGATCTTATGGGTTAGGCAGCTATAGGCTAAGTGCATTTTTAGAACATATTTTATTATGTTCAATTTAGTTATATTTATCATTGTCTATTGGATTTAATTAAGATTGTATTAATGGGCCTGTTAATTTATTAAGAGCCATGTAATTAGATTAATCAGGCTCATCCTATTGTAACTAGGTTGTTCGGCCATATGCCTATAAATAGAGGCAGTATGAACGAACATACCTAAGAGTTTCGATCTACGTACACATAACCGCATATATTATTATTTAGAAACTCTCTAGAATAGTTTCGTAGAAGAGTAGAGAGAGAGAGAGAGAGAGAGAGAGAGAGAGAGAGTTTCACAATTAGAATAGCCACATCATTATTAGAAGCTCTCACATTAGAAGAGAGAGAAGAGTTTTACACATTATAATTCTGCACGTATCATTCTAGATTAGAGCTCCCACTTTATTCTTTCTCAACAGTTCATACTTATATAATGTATTCTTTGTCATATCATTATGAATATACGACATTGAATTATGTTTGATAATTCTTCTTCTACATCCATTCTGCATATTATTGTTTAGTGTTAATCGACTGTTGATTTGGGAATTCATATGCATATAGCATAATGTCTTAACATTTGTTGTTTCAATTTACCTCTAGACCTTGACATCAAAGTAATGATATTTCACTCTCAAACAGTCAAACTAACTATCAAATATGAAAGGATGGCCATAGTTTTCCAATTCTGTATGCACACCCTTTCATGAAAGGTTTTCATTTATATAATTTCTTGTCTAGCAATAGAATATGGGTTTCTTTATACCATGTTTAGATGGTGAATAAATGTTGAAACTCTTTTATTTATCCATTTGTCGAGTTTAGAGATAATTGTGATTCTCTTGTAAAAGTTGCATCTCGAAAATAGCAAGCTTAAGACTTCCAGCTCCAGAAACCGATCTAATTGACCTTGATTCGAGGGATTTAGTTATGATGTGTTGAAATAAAAGCTGCTAGAGACATTTGTGGTTCATGTACTATGCAACTCTGCTTATAAGAAGTAGTACGTATGCTTTGAAGCTACAAAAATGTTTGTAAGGTGGTTGAGTTTGGATACATCTCTCGTTCCTTCATTTCAATTGCAATGCTAAATTTTTATACAGCCACTATAATGTGATTTGACAAGGTTATGTGTTTGCAAAGCACTTGAAGTCTTGAACTGTAATGACTGGAGCTCTTTGACTGTAATGACTCCTTGCTCAATTAAAAAGCATGTATAAGAATGTCATGGAATGCTGCATCGCAAGGACTTCCTTTAGGTTACTTGCACTGTTCTAAAAATCGGTCTAGGCGGACCGATTAATCGGCCTAGGCGGCCTAGTCGGCCCTAACCGTAGAGGACTAGTCGGCCTAGTCGGTCAAAAAATCGGCCAAGTCGGCCAAAAAATCGGCCTAGTCGGCCAAAAAATCGGCCTAGTCGGCCGCCTAGGCGCTAGACGGCCCTCAACCGCCCGACTAGCGCCTAGCGAGTTTTAGAACAATGGTTACTTAGCTTGTAAATGTATATTAAAAAATGAGTTTGATTGTACTCTCTTATTTATTGTGTAATGATATTTTTAATATGAAAATACAAATTTAAATGTGTATATTGAATGCTATTTTTTCCTTTTTGTTTCTATTTTGTTTATTGTGTTGCTTCATGTTGCATCTAGTTGTTTTTGTTGCTTTTTTTTTTTTACTTTTTATTGATATTGATCAATGTTTGATTTTTATTGCATTTCTTAATTTGGTATTTATGTTTCAAGTTTTTTTTTCTATTTTGGTACAAAGACATTTTACACGTGTGTAGTGAGTAGTGACAAAACTGCATAGAATAAAATCACAAGAAACAAAAATAAACAATAAGAAACAAAATATGAGAATTCATTAACAAAAGAAACAAAAGGCAACAAAAAATAACCATATAAAAGACAAAAGGAAACATAAAAACAACAACAATAATAGCAATAATAATATTAAAAAGTAAATTTGAGAGTTTTTTTTTTCAATTAAATATTTATATTTTTAAATTAATTAACTTTTAAGAAAATTAAAATGTGAATAGTTTAAATAAAATTACTTTCAAAATAATATTCTGTATTTCGTTACATTTTATCGATTTCACATTTTAAATATTTTTTCGAATTATGTATTTCTTAATTAATTTTTAAACCACGTATTTTACTGTTCATAAAATTTTCTAATTTTTGAACTTTATATTAAATTTAAGTTTTCTAATCATTTTTTATTTTATTTTAAATTTGAAATATTTTTCTATAATTTATTAGTGGATTCAAAACACTTTTATTTTATTTTACACATTTTGTTTATAGTTTTTCGGTTTTTAGATTTTTTTACTATTTTAAACTTTTCAATACGTTTTTTGTTAAATTTTTCACCGGTTATATTTTTATATAAATTATATTAAATATTTAATAAATTATATAATAAAATTAGTATTTTTTACTTCTTCACTATTTTCCACATTTTCAACTGTGTTAAAATTTACATTTTCATTTTCAATCTATTTATTTCCAAATTTCATATATGTTTTGTTTTACCTTTTTCCGATTAAGTTTTTAAAAATTCAATACATTTTTTTTTTTCATTTTTTATAACTCTTCAATTTCGCACTATTAATACACCTTTTTATATCTTTTTCACTTTGAGGTTTTCCATTTATTTCCACCTGTCATTTATTTAATTGAAATTTTGTTTGTTTATCTAAGTATTATCATCTGTCTTAATTTTCAATGATTTTTCACATTTTTTCCAGGTACATTTTATTTGACTACATGTTGGGAACCATACATGTGCTTGTTAAATATTTTCAAACTATTTTATTCTATTTAAATCTGATTTTTTTTTTATAATTTATAAGATTTAAAATATTTTAATCTATATATTTTAAAAAAATTATTTTCTACTAGATTTACATATTTTTAAAATTGAATGCATTTAGAGATATAATGTCTACTTAGGATGTTTTTACTTGGATTGTTTTCAATTCCAGACCAGACTAGACTTAAACAGACCAGACCAGATTTGACTTTCGTAATTATAAAATACACAAAGACCAGACGTTTACCAGATTAGACCAGACTTGTTCAGATTGATGACGTGGATTCCATTTCCTCTAACTTGAGTCACCGAAGCATATGGTAGATTCCCGTAATTGGATTTAGTATGGATTAGGGTGCCTCAAGCTACTATTGAAAAGTATTTTAAAAGATGAAAAAGTGATATTACTTTAAATTTTTAGGCTATTTATGAAAAAAATCCCTTTTTGGCTGTAAGAAACCCATAAACTATAAAAGTATGTTGCCCTAATTTTAATTAAGTGAAAGTGCAAAGTTCTAGACACCATCTTTGTGTTTATGTATGGAGTAGTACGGGAGTATGTATGTATGTGTCTAGACACCATCTTTGGCTTTATTTTTCAAAAGGTCACTTTTACTCTTTTTTAGGACGTTTTAATTTGTCGCAGACCAGATTTGGATAATTATAAAAATACAAAGAAACCAGACTTTACCAGACCAGACCAGCAAATTAGAGTGTAAGTAAAAACATCCTTAGACGTTTATTATCATGTGCGAGTGTTATGGTTATAATCTTGTCTATAGTTTCAAAACAAAAGAAGGATAAATGGATTTTCTCTAGCAATGCTTTTTTTTTTACCAGTCTAGCAATGCTAAACATTAAAGGCTGGTTTGCAACCACTTTAAAAAAAGCACTTCTCAGCTTTTGGCTTAAAAAAGCACTTATTTACCAAACACTACCAATTTTTTATTTTTCTCGGCTTTCGTGTCAAAAGTGCTTTTTCACTTTTTATACACCAAAAGCACTTATTTTACCAAACACTACCAACTTTTACTTTTCAAAATCACTTTTTTCTCAAACATTATCAACTTTTACAAATAATCACTTTTTCCAAATCACTCCAAAAGTGCTTTTTTTTAAAGCAGAAGCTGTTGCAAACACTCCCTAAAGATCAAACACAGTTTTTTTCACTCGTTTCTTGCTTTAAAATGACATTGACGTTAAAAAACAGAAAGAGAAGAAACAAGGGCAAAACAAAATCAACCAAGAATTAATATATTTTAGTTTCTCAAATTTTCACAAATGAGAATTCAAATGAAACCCTTGAGCACTGAGGGCTAAATGCAATCAATAATACTATACCAGATATAAAATCCATTTTACAATTTACCACAACCACAATCACACAGTTCTTATTCAAACAAAGCAAGTAAACTTGATCTGACTCCCATCTCCCCATCATTTCACCCTTCTTACTCTTGAGCCAAAGGAACCGTTTCCGCCTGAGGCATCATTATAAAAAAGGAATTAGTATAAGAAGTAATGTATCCTTTGGTAAGATGTAATGCAACACAATGTGATCATATGTTGTAGTAAAAATTTACACTAAAATAAATTGAGGGTACGTTTGGGACCAAGAAAACAGCAGGGAAAGAAATATGGACAAAGACAATAAACTTGGAATGGTTGAAAATTCAAGAAATACTCCATAATAGAGTAATAAATAAACTGGTTCAAGCTCAAAAAGTCAATCAAGAATTAAGACATTTGTTCATACTCGTACTTTGAAAAGTTTTAATCAAGTGTGATCCTACTAAATAAGCTCGATGCAAAACCATACATAAAAACGAACTGTTTTTTCTTAGCATGTACTATATTTTCCCTTTGTATACCAT